AGAGAAGAAAGGTACAGAGGCCGCAGCGGAGGGAGGGAGGGAGGGAGGCGACGGAGAGCCGAGCGATAGGCTTACCACCTGCAATAAGCAATACCGGGAGAGTTTATTTGTACGACAATGCCCTCCCCCCGGTCCTTCCCCGAGGGCTAACGCCAGCCTCCTCTCTTCTTCTCCTTCGCTGCGGCATCTTTTGTCTACTACCGCTACAACCGCTCGACGGCTGCCTACCGGCTGGCGCGCTCCATCCCAGTAGTTGATGCGGCCCACTGGCATAATGGCGCTGCCGTTTCGGATGTGCCGCGTCAGGATGGACTTGCCCTGCCAGTGGGGAACGGGGGAACGGGAGCGAGGTTTGAAGAGTGAAGAGGGAAGAGGGAACGGGCGGGCGAGGGGGGCGAGGGGAGGGGTTGAAAGAGTACACCCGCGCAAAAAGGCACCGGACGTGGCGAGCGGGCGCGCGGGCGGGCGGGGGTCGGGCGGAGGCGGCACTCCAACATGCGGGTCGGACGGCCGCGGGACGTGGCAGCCAGCTCCTTCCCGCCAGCAGGCAGTGCAGCGGACCTCGGAGCTGCACCCCGGAACTGTGGGTTGTCATTAGATCTGCCCGCCCCCTCCCCGACCCCTGCCCCCTCCCCAGCAGGCTCGTGGCGAGAAGCAGGGCGCACGTGATGTAGCCTGGATGGATTTGCAAATCCAGGCGAACACCACCGCGAACACTGCGTCTGGATTGCCGTTGCCGTTGCCGGCCCCGCCGCAATACCGTAGCCGGGGCTTCCAACGGCGGCAAGACACCATCATCCATCGCCTCTCGAGGCGCACTCGCCTGCACCATCCGGCAGGAGCGCTAGCATACCGTACCGCCACCCATGCCCATGCCTGCACAATGGCACACAATCCGCTCCATGCATTGGGCGGCCTGCCTCCATCATGTGCGCCGGTGTGTGCCCCTTCCTCCCTCTCCTTTCCTTTTCCTGTCCTTTCGCGCGCACAAAAACGTCACACACACACGCAGCCACCCAGCCACGCACCATGCGGCGCATGACGAAGAAGTTGGAGACGAGCGTCACGGGCGCCAGCACGCGCTTGGCGGTGCAGGCGGCGGGGCAGATGTTGGCGAGTGCGGTGTAGGAGGCGTTGTCGGCGGGGATGCGCATGTCGGTGTTGCCCACCGTCAACACGCCCAGCGCATTGGGTCGCAGCTCAGGAGTGTAAACCAGGCTGAAGCCCGAGGAGTCCACCTGCGGGGCGCGTGGCGTTGGATTGCGTGTGGCGTTCGGCAGTGCGTTGCGTTGCGTGGATTGCGTTGCGTGGATTGCGTTGGACAGTGCGCTGGACAGTGCGTGGCGTGGCGCTGTGTCGCGTTGCGTTGGACAGTGGATTGCGTTGGACAGCGCGTTGCGTAGCGTTGCGTTGTGCTTTTCAACCCAAGGGCCGCCCCATTAGGGGGAGAGACACGGGCGGCCGGGGCTCCAGGTAGGGAAGCAGTTGCCGAGGCGGGGCATGCAGTGCCAGGATGCTCCGGAACCAGGCTCACTCTCGAGGGCGGCGAGTGCAAGCCTGGTTCCGGAGCATCCGCGGGAGGAGCCGTTGCTGCTGACACGCCCGCTGAAGACCCAGGCGCCACAGGCCAACCCCGCCAACCCAGCCCTGGCTGAGGCGCCCCAGCCCTGCCCAGAACGTCCCCCGACACGCACGCTGGCCCACTACCACGCACCCTCCAAGGGGATTATCCACGTATAGGCAGGAGCCAAGGAGGGTAGGGGCGTTCATTCAGCTTGCAGCGTGCAACGAATGCGTGCTGACTCAGCGTGTTCCGCCTTCGCATACAAACGCAACCTACCGGTATGTCGGTCCCTCCACCTGCCCTACCTCGCCCCCTTACCTACCTGCCCCACCTGCCCTACCTGCCCCACCTAGCCCCCTGCCCTACCTGCCCTACCTCGCCCCGGGCCGTCCTTATTGCCCTACCTGCCCCACCGCCGCGCCCAGGTTCCAGTAGAAGACCTGAAGGACCATGGTGGCAGCAGCGCCCGCTCCGATGAGGAAGCCGGCCTTCGGAGGCGCCTTGAAGGCGCCCGCGCCGGGAACCCACATAAAGTTGAGCGTCTCGCAGCCGGCCGGCAGCGCCGCCGGCAGCGCGGGCATGGCGCCCGTCGCGTTGCCGCACTCGTAAGGCACGCCGGGCGCCTGGGACGGCGCCGCCGCGCCGGGCGCGCAGACGTAGCCCAGCATCCGCACCACCAGCGGCGTGGTGTTGAAGCCCTGGTAACCCACCACGCTGTACTGCCTGTCGTTTGGGGAGTGGAGGAACGTTGGTATTGATTGAGTGATAAAGAAGGCCGAAACAGCAGCGGAGGGGGGACGGAGAGCCGGCGTTGGCGAGCGGACCACCGGAAACCACGCAGCAGCAGCAGCAGCAACACGGGCCGACCGACCAACCGACCGACCGAGCAGCAGCACCGACCGACTGACAGAGCAGCACCGACGGACTGAGCGAACCGCACCGCACCTGTCGTTGGGGAGCGCCAGATTGACGCACATGGCGCTGCTGAGCGGCGACGCCGGGACCACGATGTCGGGCATCTTCACCACCATCGTGACCGCGTACTCGTCGTCATCATCATCATCATCATCGCCATCATCATCGGCGGCGGCAGCGGGCACAGTCGTCGCAGAGGCGTTGCCGGGCGCGGCGGCGGCGGCGGCGGCTGCCACAGCGCTGGTGGTGAAGAGCTTGACGCCGCTCCTCACGCCGCCGGGGAAGGTGCCCAGCTTGAGCTTGGCCGCATCCCAGGCTGTGTCCCAATCGTAAGCCCACACGAGACTGCGCTCCACGTTGCGGTACACGGGCGTATCCTCCGAGTCGCACGAGTCAAGCGGCCGCTGGATGACTGCCATCGTGTGGTTGTCCTGGTCGTACGCCGGTTGCGTGAGCTGCGGCGGCGGCAGGGTTTTTTTAGGGTTGAGGGAAGAGAGGGGAGGAGGAGGAGGGGAGCAGGAGCAGGACATAGATGAGCTTCGGGGATGCGGTTAGATGGCATACGTGGAATACGATGGAATACGGGATTGTGCGTGTTTTTGGGTCATTGGAATAACGCTAAGGTTGGTTGAGGTTTGGCCCAGCACGCCAGGCTGGCGCATCAGGAGAGGCTTAGGTTTGGGCGGGTGCGGGATTCACTAGGAGAGTTCTACTAATGAATCCCGCACCCGACGGAGTTTTGGTTTGGGGCTGGGGCTCAAAAGTACTGGTTCTATGGTGGATTGGTCTTCGGAGCCGTTGTGCTGCAACTGCAACCCCGCTGGGAGGGGTTGGTGGGTGGGACGGAGCGGGGTTCCGCCGGCCGAGATTGGTGCTTGACGACGGATACAAAAGGCAAATCTCCCGACCATAGCCCCATGTCCCGTTCCTACAGAGCGAGCAAGCGGCTCCCAACCCCACGTACCCAGGCCCACCCAGCGTATTTCCTTCCCGGCTGCTCACCAGCTCGACGTTTTGCTCCTGATCATAGGTAGGCGTGCTGTAGTCCTCCGTGAAAAAGTCTCTGCACGCGCGTGCCCAGGAGGACGAACACGTGGGGGCCCAGGGGTCGAGCGAGGCAGCATGGTAGGGGGACACACGCCGCCGGCTTACCCGATAAGCCATGCACCGCCCTGAGTGGGGACGTATGCGACACTGAAGTCGACTCCCTTCATGCCCGCCTCGGAGATGCCGAGGGCTACCCAGGTCATGTAGCCATCACCGTCTGGGACGAGCTCCAGCGTCTCGTTATTAATTACTCTCCAGTAAAGCGCCAGGTTTTCATCCAGTTGTATACAGTTAGGGTAATCGTCCTTGGATGCATACTTGTAGCAGGTCGCCGCGTCTGCTGCGCTGGAAAAGAGGACCATCGCAGCGAGCACAGCAAGCGGGGCCAACGCGCGCCGGAGACGGGCCATAGCGATGGATCCCCTCAAACAGAAGGATATGCAATTGTTCACTCCTCTCTAGGATTGTAAGGCAGTCACTCAGTCAAGGCGGTTAATAAGAGACACAGTCAGGTGTTTAATTTTAAATAGTGGCCATACTAAAGACAATTACTAGCAATTTGGCACGAAGTAGGCATAAGAGGTCACACACAATTCTTCAGCACGTATCATGCGGGGAGGAGGGTCGGGACACTCCGGCTGTACGGCGGGGTAACCACCTATCTCCAGCGTGCTGTGCGTCAGGCATTGATACATCGTGGTATTGCATGTATAAGCAGGTGGGCATAATTTCTGGTGCAGGGCGTGTGATCTACTTCTACAGGCTATGTTGACTTCTTAAAAGCCCGAAAAGTTCGAGGACGACATTCAATATAATATCACAGGGGGCGTAAAATTATATAATTGGAAGGAAAAACTGGAGCGTTGACTCGCGCCGGTGCTGCTCTGGCAATGCGCTGTGGGCCGAATCTGAAGCGGGCAGCGGTCCTCGACCAATCACTTTTGTTACCCTTTGCTCCCCTGCCGTCTGCGGGCCGGATGGCCAGCGAGGGACGGTGTTTTTGCTGCGTGCGGGCTTCGAATCGGCCCAGCGCTGGCCCAGCCAAGTCCTGGCTGGTGTAGATCTCTGTTTGAAACATTTGGAGGGGTGCGCGGGCCTTCATTCTGTGCTGATTGCGGCTGGGGTGCGTGTGTGGCACACGGACCGTGGTCCAGGTTACTGAGTCCCGCTTCGACTGGGACCCATGGGCCGGGCGCCCCAACATGGCGCGGTGCGGGCCCGCCGTGGCCGCCCCCGCCCCCTCCCCCCGCCAGCACGGACAGCGCCCGCGCCGACAGCAGTGGTACCGTCTCAGTCTCAGATCCTCCCCGGGTTACCCCCGCATTCCTCCGGGGTATGCCCAACATAACAGCGTCCATCATTTCGCCGATTACAACCGTGTATACCGCACGTTGTACAGATGTTGCGGCACGCATCGTCCCCCCTTGATGGCGTGAGATGACAGCAGCACCAGCCCGTACGTAATATGCCCGTACACCCCGTATGGGATTCGAACCCATGATCCCTGGATTATTTCCAAATAGAAGTCCAGTGCGGTATCCACTGCGCCAACGGGGTTGCAAAAAAGACATCGGTACCTGTATATGTGAGCGTTCTTGGTACGGTAGAGGGAGACAGGCTGCTCTGCCCTGCAAGTCGGCAACACCGCATGCACCGCACGGCACCACCCTCCTCCACCACCACCCGGGCACACGGTCGGTCAATGCGAGGCAGATTTGGGTCACGCTGTGAATGGCAGCAGGGCCATCACACCCTGGTGCGGACAGCGTTAGGCCTGCGAGGGGCCTGGTGTAGGCGTGTAGCACGCTAGCACCTAGTCGTACGTCCTCCAGGAGGCATCTTTCCTGCGGGATGCCCCACGAGGATCACTCACCCTGTATCTTCCTCATGGGTCCAACCGATTAGTACGGTCCCCAACCGAGTAGTACGGTTTGATGGGGTGGTGGCAAAACCAGTTCATCCCCACCCAAGCATGCACGCAGGTCGGCAGAAGGCAGGGAGCACAGGTAAGGTGGCATCCGCACGCAGTACGTTCGTAGTCTTGCATGCGTCCCTACATGCAGTAGGTGTTGCGTACAAACCTCGTACGGGCCACCATTCATCTTGGCAGAATGCACTGAATCGGTTCGTGCAGGTAACGAAGTCGGTGACGAAGGCCCGGGACGCCGGGATACCGCACATGGGAGGGAGTTCTCTGGCAAAACATAGCCCAAAAGAATGGGGCCTGCTGGTCCCCTGCATGGGGCCGTGGGCATTATTAATTCATTATCCACTCGCTCGTATCTGTCGTCTGCTCGTCCCGTGCATGCGGTTGGCTCTAACGCGCGAACACCGAACAGACAGAGGGTGCGCTTTACCGTTACATAATCAGACCCATGTAGCCGAACCTTCATGAACACAAAGGGTGGCAAAGTCAATATCATTATACGTTTTAGTTCTTATGTAACTCATGGCGGTTGGCAATTCGATTGTCCGTTTTCAGCGCCGCGCGACAAAGTAGGAATGGAATGGGAATGCTTTTAGTACGCTGAGATCATGAAACCGTGCTTATGATACGCGATGACAATAACGGCCAGGTGTCTCGGGCCGGGGCAACCGGAACTGGAGCTGGGTTCTGGAGCAACCTCCTGGCACCGGCACGACAAGTTTCCAAGCAAACCAATTTCCCTGTGAAATTTGCAGTTGACTGGAGGCAATTTTCGGTTTATTTTCTTCTATTCCCCCACTGCCTACTTCTGCACTTTCGCATTTTCGGGCGCACCTCAGATAATCGGACATTGTTACTTTCGTGTATCACGTCATGTCGGGACCTAAGCCAAAAGCAGGGCAGGGTGTCCTCTTGTTTGAAGAGGAGGCCGATGAGGACGCGACAAGCGACCCGCACCTGAAGGAGAAAATAAGCAAGTAAGAACGCACGGTATTTCGTTTGTGACGCTTGGTGTCTTCTGAGGTCAACGGTGACTTGGTTGCCGTAAGTCTTGCGCTCTACCTTCCCGCTTCCGACCCAGATACCTGGAAGAAAAGACGTCAAAGGAACCGTCCAAAAAGCTCATCCATACAGGTATGTTCAACATGCGGTCCTTGCAGCAACAGAACAAAGAGCTCGGGTTTCCGTGCTGAGAGGTTGAAAACCGGTCGCTGGACCGAGTCGCATCAGGTCCCGACGGAGAGGAGCACACGGGGCTTACGGATGACTCTGCGGACGACGAGGGAGAACCGGATTACGACGTTGCCTCGCGAATGACGTTAAAGGCCTCGTCGGAGGCCTTCCTCGAGGTGGGCGTAAGTGCACGTGGGGGTGTACGCGGGGTGAGGTCGCGCGTGTGGCGCGGCACAAACCGAGTGGGCCATCCGGAAGGTACGGTACCCGCGCTTGTACGAGCATGGACCCACAAGGGCAGTGTGTCGGATCGAGCGCCCAACCGGCAAGTTGAACGAAACGGCTTAGAGTGGATCTGCAGGATCGCCGAAGTTGCTGTGATGGCCACAGTGGGCACCAGGCCCTCGGAAGGGTAGAGCTGGCGGGCCGTGCCTCCCAGCGGATACGGCCAGGGTAAAAGGAAGAAAGCGTTCCCAAACCCAACAGTTTTGGTGCCCAGAGTGTGTGGAACACAGCGAGTACGGTAATGCGGCGTGACAACCCCACATGTCACCCTGGCAGGGACGAGCGAGCCCGAGGGGAAACCCCGGCTCAGGAACCCGCGGCCACGGGGGGCATTAGCCATGAAAAGCACCCCATGACGCCCCTGACAGTTTCGCATTTGAGAGTGGGCGTTGACACCAGCCCCAAGTCATTGGCTGATTGGCCATGGGCTTGCAGCCACAACCAAACCACTTAGGGCGCTCGCTTGTGCACTTCGTGGGATTAGGGCTAAGAGTATGTTTCATGCGGCAGCCTTACTGCATAAAGGCCGACACGGTTGCACGGTTGGTTTGAGGGCACTCATCTGCAGATTGCAGTCACTGGATTGCACTATGGAATCGTGTAAGCAGTATATATATATATCCTCGTGTCTGTTACATTCCTTGCCTGTGCGTGCTGGTTGCGCAGGTGATGGCTGAGGCACGATCACAGTACGAGAAGGAGAAGGAAACGGCGCGAAAGAAGCAGGCCAAGGCGGGCGCCAAGGAAAGCGGAAAGAAGCCTTAGAAGCTAGGGGACGCGCTGGAAGCGACGGCAACGGCGTATGGTTGGGATAGCGGCGTAGGTGCACGGGCATTCAAACGGCTGTGGCGTATGTTCCGTGATTTGGGTAGCGTTGAACGCGTGATTGTAGGAGAGCTTTTGGTCGGAGTGACGTCGTCTCTCTCGCAACTGAAGCATGACGTCGCGAAGGGGAGCTGTTGGGGGATCAGTTCATGGGTCGGAGCAGATTTGGCCAAAATTAGCATGTTTGCATTCGCGCCTTCCATGCTTAGACAGTTCTATGAGGCATCGTTATTGATTTGGGTAGGCCAGCGACTGACACGCGTCCCGTGTTCAGAGCCGTAAAGCGTGGCAGCACATGCCGTTGCGTACTTCGAGGTGCGCGGAAGGGACGACATTTGAAGTAAAACATGGATTTCGCAGGGTGCTTCAATTCGAAACAGGCGTGTTCTGGGTCGGTGTAGAGGGACTGGGGCGGCTGCGCTCTTGGCGATGCGTGCGGGATGTCCAATTGTAAATGTGGACCTTCATGACGGCAATGTGTGCGTATTTTTTCTCGTGTGTTCTGTCATTTGGCGTGCAATGCATGCATGTACATGCAAGAATGGAAGGCGCGAATTTTGGAATTTGAGTTGGTTTAGACGAATGGTGGGCGTGCGTATGCGGTTGGTTTCGGGGCCCGAGAAGATTTCAGAAACCCCAACCTCACTAGATGCAGCCTGCATACATTCACAGTAAATTATTAGGCCTGCTTCATGTCAATCGTGATTACTCAAACCTCAAACGTCGCGAAGCTGGAGGTCCCCTTGCAATTCGTGCAATATTCAACGTGAAAACACCTAACATTTTTTGCAATAAAGATAACACTTTAAAAAAAGTTTCAGTCGAGTTGCGAGCAGCACATGGAAAATTGTGAACTCTGAGAGCGCTTTCCATTGGGAAGGCGACTGGATAGCTGCAATGAGGTTTCCCCTTATAAGGTTCTAATCTGTTAACGCATCCTCGGTTTTCAATTGTCGGGTTGCCGATTTTGTGATGGACACGAGGAAGGCTCAGGCAGCTGGCCAGCGGCGCCAGAAGGCAGCCTGGGCACTCGCAGCAGTATCTTTCATCATGCATGTTGCCGGCGTGCGGGCGGCAGCGGCCGGCCTGGACCAATGGTGCGCGTTCAGTCCCGCCCATCAGACCTCAAGCGCCTGCCGGCGCGCCACGACCTGCCAGGTGCGTGGCGACGGTAATGCTTGATGAAAGCGCGCGCGATGACTTCGCTTCGGTGCGCTGAATCGCGCTCTTGGCGGATCCGGCCGGTCCCCTCCAAAATATGTACGATCCCGCCATCTAGGCCTCGCACGCCTGGACCTTTTCCGCCGGCCATCACAGCAGCCCATCTTCCCCTCCCATGGCCAATATGCCCCTGCCGACGATGCATGAGATCCGATGCCAACGATGCACCCTATGAAACGATGCACTATGGAACTGTTATTCAGCTCCTCTGTAATTAATTTATGAATGAATCCGCACTGCACCCGCCCACATGACTCGCGCAACCTCTCCCTAACCCCAACACTCCCCGTCATTCCTCCCATAAGCCCGGCCACATAAAACAACCCGAGTTCCCGAGTGTAAACAGCCGCCCTTCCAACAAGAGATCTTTTCCCCTTAACCACCCAAACCGCGCAAACACACACAGACCGTTGATCGTTGGTGGAGCTCCCCCGACCACTGCGTCATCCCTGGAGCCCCCGGCATCTTTCCGTACAGTCTTTCTCTGACTGACGTGTGCGGCGGCCCGGAGGCCGTGACCAGCCTGCCGCTCGTGGACGCCGCGGGCCGGCAGCTGGGTACGGCAGTGCTGTTTCGGAGCCGCAGCTCGCCGCTGCTGCACGTGACGGTGGTGCTGGGGACCGTGGACGGCGCAGCGGTGCTGTACCGACCCATGGGTCACTCTGCGGGTCAAGGTAGGCGAGCTGCCGGGGACCACATAATGCACGAGGGGCTGTTACTGAACGAGGGGCTAGTACCTCCTGCGCCACCCTTTGCCTCTCAACCGCACCTCCCCCGCCCTCCCCCTTCCCGGAGGCTTTCCGTGGATCCTCCCCTTCCTTCCCTCCCGCAGGCCTTCTTGTTTCATTTCTGCAGAACTCACTCTTCAAACACCCCCCTCCCTCCCCACCTTCCCTCCCTCCCGGGTGACCGTGCAGCGACCGCGTCTCTCCTGCTGTCGCCCACCCTCCCTCGAGGCCCTTACGGAGCCGTCGGGGGACAGTACTCGATCCTCGTGCCGCCGCCGCCGACGTCGCCGACGCCGCTCCCAGCGGACGACGGTACGGCAGCGGATGTACGGCAGTTGTACAGCTGCTTTACGTGGTCGGTTGACCTGCGGTCAGTCTGTGACCCGATCCGCAGTCGG